CTGACCCCAGACCCTTCAAAGTTTGCAGTGCTGAGGAACTGAGCCCCACAGGAATGAAAAAAAAAGGAGATAAACACAGAGAAGTGAATTAGACTCAAATGAAATGAGAGACTCGTGCAGCTTCATTTGAGCAAGAGACGTGGAACTGCCCTTAAGAAATAATTGTTAAGGAGGAAGAGAGAAAGGAATGGCAAGGCTTAAAGAACCTGAAGTAATTTAAGATGCTAAAATTAATAACTATTAGCTTCTGCTTTGGTGCTCATCCTAGCACCCTGAAGAACAATCAAGTATCTCAATTTTCTACTTAACTACTAGTACACTCTCTCCATGCAAATAACAGAAAACTGTTGATGCAGGAGCAACAGGATGCCCCTTCCATACACCTCCTTTTGAGAAGAAGACAGGAATGTGTGGGTGTTTCCAAGCTGGGGATGGACCAGATAATTCCTTTGCTGAACTGAACTCTGTGGCATGCTGCAGCAGGGTTGGGGTTTGAGGTACTGGGGTCCACATTGTGCTGTCCACTGCTGCCAGTATCAAGGTTTTGGAGTAAGGAATAGGATGTTGAAAGAGATTGTCTGTCTTTGGCAGAGGGATATGAACTATGTTTTATTAAGTAATGGTAGTACAGTACAAAAATATGATTGTATACAACTTTTGAAAAATATGGCGCCACTAAAAACAGCCTTTTCTCCTTTCATATGTTCCTTACTTTTCATAAATATACATTGTAAATGCTTCTAACCTTTTTTTCTACCAGCACTGGGAAATGAAGTCTTCAAATCACAGTCAAGATAAAGGGCAGCCAACAGTGTCATTTGAATTATCTTTTCTTTGCAAAATGAAAGATCTTCAGAAGAATAAGAAAATCTTCCAGAAAAGTCTGAGAAAAACAAAGCAAAAAAAAGTTCCTGTTTGGAGGATATGAGGTTATTCAGCCTTTGAAATAGTTTGATGGTTTTAGAGGCAAAGTCTCCCAGGCCTGACAAGCAAAGGCTTCTAGGACAGGAGAATTAGGGCACCACCAGAGCCATGGAGGGAACGACCTGAGTGTTCCCAGGCAGCTGGTGCTTGGCCAAGGCCAAGGCTGAGCTCTGCAGTTTGCAGCAGCCCACGTGCTCACTGCTCTGTCCTGGACCCTCTTCAGCACCTCTCTGACTTCCATGGCACTGGGATCCCAGATGGATCAAGTATTAAAGTGGGAGAAACTCTTCTACTTAATCAAAACAGAATAAGCTGGTGTTTTTTTACTGTGGACAATTCTATTTATGTGCAAGGAAAAAGAATTCCTGCTCATAAAGCATTACATCTCCAGCCACATCTGGAAATAATATTTGGGATAAAGCTCTCTTTTTCCAAAGAAGCCAAGTGAATTATGACCCAATTTTCTGTCTTTACTGCCAGACAACAGCTGTTTTTATCCAGAGATTTTGCTTCTGAGCCTCATTCTTAAGGAAAGACAAAAATTATGGAGTTAAATTCCATCAATATGCCTGGAAGTTACCCTGCAATATCAAACCCTGTGCATTCTTACTAATGAACATAATTGCTGGCCCCATTAAAGCAGCCTACGTTAAGGATGAGATAAGTTATCAAAACGAGTTCTTTTGCAATACAGAGACTAAACACAGCCTGGTACAGATGGAGGGAAATCTTTGATTTTTGAAAACTACCCAGACCTGCCAGGGGATCATAGGACAGTCTGAAGTCTTGTCTAGGTGGTGAAAGTCTCTGGCAGGACATCCCTGGGATGGTTATCTCAGCCCTGTCACACCTTCACCAAGATTCCTGTGTTTCCTGTTGGGATGTGAGTGCTGCTCACCGTCACCCTGCAGGCAGCCCTGGGGCTGGAAAATGGCCCAAATGGAAACTGGCAGCTTAAGGAAGAGAAAATAACACTGCTTATGGTGAGCACCAGATGTGCCCAGAGCTTGGCAAAGCTGAACTGGAAGCCAAGACAGGCTGGTAAGAGTGTGATTCTTATTTCAGTCCCTGAACTTCCATGGGCTCCACTGGCAGCTGAAGTGCTTCTGTATGGCAAGAAACAGCATATTTCTGATGATTTTTGTTCCCTACATGCCTTCCTCCAGCCTTATTCTGTGCCAAGAAGTGGCACTGGAGCTGTGGTGAAGCAGCAGCTGTGACATAACTGCATCTGCACCCAGGAGGTCCAGGATGAGCATGGGATTCTTTGATGTTCAGCTGGAGCAGAATGAAGTGAGGCGGAAATGTCTTCCTCCTCCTCGCTCTGCTCCTGCCCTCAGGGTTTGGGTTTCATGTAGGACCAAACCTCAGCTAGGTGGGAAGATGGGGCATGGGATTTGTTGACCTAGAGGCAGCTCCTTTAGGAAGGAGCCCTGCAGCCCTGCTGTGGCCTGGAGAGCCAGCCCAGGTAGAAGGGGTGTGAGCCACGGCCAGATCGCCCCACTCCAAAGTGCAAGGTCCAGGCAGCCAGACAGGACATTTTTACCCAAATGACAGCAATCTGAGGTCGTTCACCTGCATGAGGAAGGAGCTGGGGTGTGTGGGTTGCCAAGTCTCTGCTGTGCTGCCAGGCAGGGAAGGAAATTCCCTGGATTTGCCTTTCATCTCAGACAAGGACACGCCGTTTGAAGCAATCGCAAACCGCAGCTGGCACAGCTGGCCCTGGCACACGCAGGGAGAGTTCAATAATTCAGCAAAAAAGCCCAGAGCCAGCAGCAGGCTTGGGCTCCAGCCAAGGCTCGGGATGTTGCCCCAGCATCAAATAACACCTCTGCTTGAGATCTCCCTGCCTGGGAAAGCACCGTCTGCCAGGGGAAGGAGAAACCCTCAGCCCACAGGTTTTCTGCTGCTCCAGTGGAGGGAAGGGCTGATGTGCTGGTTCATGCTCCCACTGCGTGACGTTGTGACCTGTCCCTGTCTCAGCAGTACTAAGGGATTCAGAAAACTGGGTGGCCTTTGCCAAAACGTTTGCCCTAGACCACTGTGGTTTTAATATTTTTTTTTTTTTTTTTTTTTTTTTTTTTTTTTTTTTTTTTTTTTTTTTTTTTTTTTTTTTTTTTTTTTTTTTTTTTTTTTTTTTTTTTTTTTTTTTTTTTTTTTTTTTTTTTTTTTTTTTTTGNTTTTTTTTAATTTTTCCTTTTTTTTCCCTCTTAAACTAAAGTGTTTTTAGTGCTGGTGAAAGGTGCTGGATGGCAGCCTTGGAGATGGATGTCCCTCTACCCAGCCCCAGCAAGCCCTGGTGTTTTCTCTGGTGTTTCTCCTCCTGGCATCATCCCTGTGCAGGTCCCAGGCTCCTTTGTCCTCTCACCTGCTTCTTTCTGTGCTGGTTGGGACACCCATGGCTAAGCATGACTTCAACCTCCCATCCCAGGCTTGGGTGCTGCTGGCCTGGGCCAGGCTGGAGCTGGCAGTGCCCCAGGGAGGGAGCACTGCAGGAGGGAGCTGTCTGCCCCACAGCCCAGCCCAGCTCTGCTCCCATCCTGAGCAGGAGAGGGAGGAGAGTGGATGCACCCCGTGGGTGCCACTTTTCTCTCTGCCTTCTTTCGGTGCCTGACCCAGACCTGACCCCAAGTGCTTCAGTGCAGACTGATTGTCTCTTCCTTGGTGCTCTCTTTCACCTCTCTCCCTAAAGTGCAAACGAACACAACGAGTCACCCTGGGTGCTGCAGCCAGCTCACACCCAGGGGCCCAGAGGGACAAGTGGGATACCAAGCCCTTGGCTTGCCCACATGCCCCAAGCCAGGCTTTCAAGTAACACCCTAGAGGTGCTTGGCACATTTCTCCCCACCCCAAACACCGATGCCAACCTGTGCTACCTCTTGGGCAAAGAGAAACCCCTTTGCTCACCCCTGCCCACCTCCCTCCCCCTGTCCCCATCCCCACCAAGCTGTGCCAGCCTCTCCCATCTCTCTGCTGGGCAGCAGGGAGGGGTAAAGCAGCCTGCTCCATCTTCCCATCCGTGTTCAAGGTAAATGCAGCACCAAAATAGATACAAAAATATAATTTTGGGTCCATTGACCCAGCTTCACTATTAATATAAGTGCTATGAAATGTCAGAAAATAAAAGCTGTTCTCTCTATACACACCTGCCCCCCACCCCCCTCACTGACAGTATTGCCACACGCCCGGTCCTGTCAAAACAAGGCATCAAGATGCCTGTTTTCTCTATATTTTAAATACAATTGCTTCCATCCCCCCATTGTAAACAAACATGGCAGAAAGGGGTTTGGAAAAAAACCCAAATAAACAAAAAAAAAGCTATTTTAAAAATTCTTCATAATTTCTATGTTCTGAATAATATTTCTGCCTCCTGGGACTTGAGTCTGCCAGGTTATTTAAAAGGACAGAAGGTACCTGTGATTTCTGATGAAGGCCCTGATGTCCTTCTTGGGTTTCCTTTGGATGCTCTCTGGTGGGGATGAGAGAGATAATGTATTTGCTTTCCTTATGCAAAAGTCACAAAGTGTTTGATCGGCAAACCTGTGACTAAAAAAAGTAAATATATAAAATAAACAGCAATCCACAGTCTCTTTCTTAAGTTTCCCCATCTATCCTGTTTTCAAAGTGCAAAACCTATAGAAGCACTGAATAATTTTCTTGAGGTGTTTTTCCCCTTTTGTTAGGGCTTTTTCCCCGCACGTGCTTGACTGGAATGGCCTTTCTATAGCAAAAGTCAGATAAAGCGTAATTGCAGTAGTTTCTGCACATGGAATTATGAATCATTCCAGTGACTCGAGAATCTAAGCTGTTAATAGGCTAAAAAAAGGTGTGGTTTTTTTTTTTTTTTGTTGGTCTTTTTTTTTCTTTTGTTTTCTTTTTGCATTATAATTAAGCATGAATATATATTACTATATTACACTGCTGGGATTGCTGGAGCAATCCACATCTTCTTATGCTGTAAAACTAACTCCCACCCTGTGCTCCCCAGATCAAGAGCTTCTTTTCTCCTCCCTGTGCCAGACACCCTCAGTCCACATGATTAAAAGTCCCTCCCATCCCCTTCCCCATTTTTTTTTTTTTTTTAGTAGATATTGCCGCATTCTTAAATTCATGCATTGCTGCATTGCTATTGCACATATATAAAGGATTGCTCGCTCCCTCCCGGCTGCTCCCGTCCCCTCACTGGTTGTGCACATCCTCTCTGCGGACTATCTTGTAGATGATCCAGTAGAAAATGTTGAAGATGAGGAAGGCCATGGGGAAGCCGATGCGGGAGATCTTGTCGATCTTCTTGGCTCTCTGGATGAAGAGCTTCCTCATCTCCTCGGGGGAGCGCGACGGCGGCGGCACCGGGTTGGCCGTGTTGTTGTTGTTGGCTCCCTTGACAGAGATGCCATCCTTGGCTTGTAGGCACGCTGGCCCCATCCCGTAGGCAGTGAAGTTGAACCTGCCTTCACCAGCTTCGTCCTCCTGGAACAGATTGAGCATGGGACTCTACTTAAAATGAGATATAGACAGTGCACCCTCGCTATAAGGCTCTCCGCTGACAGCGTCCTGCTCTGCACGGGAGAGATGCTCCCGCCATGCCCCGGCACCCTTGGGCAAACCCCCTGCTCTTGGGAGACCAGCCTTATAGAGGGGTGCCAGCTGTGTGATGCACAGATGCAAATCAGGGGATCCAGGCACCCCATGGAGAACAGGACTGACTTCCACCCCGTTGAGGTCTTTGATATATTGAAGGGTTTGTGGCACTGCTTTCATTTTTCCAATTGCATCCCCTGTTTTGCTTCTGCCTCTCCCTAGCCCCCCCACCTCCTAACAGCACCTTCTTTGCTTTGCCTGTGCAGTTTCAGCTTGCCCAGAAGGAGTGGGCTCCATGTAACTCACGTAGCCAGAGCTGCAGCTGCTTCCTACAGAGTTACATGGATGTGCAGGAGCCAGGAGCTGTCCAGGACAAGAGCTCTGCAGGCAGCGTGCAACCAGCCCTCACTCGCCTGCCACGGCACCCCACAGCCATCCCCAGGAGCCAACTTTTGGGTGAGGAACTGAAGTGTCCTTCTGTGGGTCAAAGGTAAGACATGGCTGCTTGTGGTAATGCCAATTATTGAGAAAAAATATAATTTGTGTTCTAAAGCCTAATGGTGTTGCTGTTTGTTTTTTTTTGTTGAAAGCTTTGCTGGAATCCCAGAATGATTTAGCCCTATTTTATTGAACACAGGGATGTAATGACAGGGAAAACTAAGTTTGGCCTGAGTAATTCAAGCAGTGATTTACAGAGGCAGAGTCAGAATCCAAAGTCTCTTGACTTCAGGTCACCAAGGCTAATTGTAGAGCAGTGGCACTAATTAATCATTAACATAGGCTGATCCATGTCCCCCAACACTGACCCAGCAGCCCCCTTCCTTGTAGCTGCCTGTCCACTATGCCCTGCTGCCCCATCCCCTGTCCTTTGAGGGGTGTCTGTTCTGGATGGCCCCTGCATCCCATGGACAGCTGCATGGGATGAGGAGCAGGACACAGAGGATACTGCCATGTCTGAGCAAAACAAAACTACCCAGATAAAATCAAGATCTGGTGGCTTTCTGTGATACTCAGAGCTTATGGATCTTCTCATCATGTCTGTAATTAGGGCCTCTGCTCTTTTTCCATTGCACAAACAAACCCTAGCCCATGTCTGGCTTAACCTAAACCACTTGATCCCTAATCTACTGAATTTTTTTATCTGTGACTTTGTTTTGGCCACTGTGGCTTTGTTTTGGTGAGTGGTGTACCAGGGTTAGAGAAGACAATATTGCCTTTTTCAAGGTGCCATGTCAAAGGAGAAAGGCAAAGAAACCAGCCACACCAGGAAGTGTTTCAAAATACACTCCATGTGGGTCTGATGATGGTGTCATGTAAACCAGACTGGTCCATACCACTGCAACATCTCACCTTTTTTTAGCCTGGTGTGTCATGCCTAAACTAGTCAGAGCTACCCAGACAAGTCAGGATGTCAGGACAGAGCAATTAGTGTCTTTGGCAGCTGCGTTAGTCCATTTACATATTAGCAGTCAGCTTAGTTTTCTGATGAGCCTGTAAACCTTGTTTATTTAGCTTTTACAAGTGTTTTTGTTTATGCTTTGCTCCAATTAAATAGCTGTGAGATTGAGCAGGGACTGTGCTGACAGCCTTGCATTCAGTGGAGCAGCTCTGGCAAATATCTCTTAAACTTGTCTGTGTGTTAGTGGCTTTCTTTTCCTTCTTACTGTTTTATCAACAGACTGATCTGCATACAACAGCACAGATCCAGAGATGCCTGAATCCAGATGAAGAGATAAATGCACTATGGAGGCATGCACGTGGGTGGGTTTAGCTCTGCCTCTGTTCAGCTGCATCTTCCCAATCAAAGCTTTGTTGATTTTGGGATGGAAGAGCCCTATTCTGGTCAAACAAATTCAGTGAGTGCTGAGGGTCTCATCTGTTACTTCTTTTCCCTTGCCTTTGTCCAACTATTTTCATCCCTGGTCCTGACTGTCTTGAGCACAAATGAACAATTATCTCCTGTTTTGCAGATAGGACGACTGAAGCAGAGAGAGACAAATCTGGAAAAAATACAGGAATTCCTTCTCCTCAGCCCCACTTCCTCCGGGAATGGTAGCAGTTCCGCAAGCATACACTGATCTGCTGCAGGACAGGTTAGACCTGGGAAAGACTTTTAATGGCTGGGACAGTGAAACAATGGAATGGGAGAAGGTTTCTGGATGGGATGCATCATGGAAAGTAGACAAATACCTATGAGGAATATTTAAGGCAGACCTTGGCGGTCACCTACAGGTTTGCTTGAGATTTTCATCAGCAAAATTGTCTTTGATTTTCTCTCCTAGAAAATGTACTGGTTTTTAATGCTCTCCCAAGGGCAGCCTCTCAGGCCTGCTACTGAAATTTTGCTAACCCCTTTCCTGATTCTACCAGTTATATAGGGACAATTCTTAAGAGCCTTTGGCTGTATGATCACAGCCACCTTTATGTTTCTTTCTAATGTGATCTGTGAGGTGAAATCTTTGCTGTTGGAGCCCAGGCTGGGGAGCTGTCGGAGCTGCGTGCATGCTCAGATTGGCATTGGGATCAGCCACGGCAGGTAAGCATGGAGCAGGCTAAGGCTCAGAATAAAGCTCTTTCCTTCCAGGAGGAATTTGCAGTCCATCTGAGAAGCAGATGCTTTTGAACATGGAGATGGCAGAGACAAAAGAGGTGTCACTTACCTCTGGGCTGCTGCAGGCTGTTGTGTTGGGGTTGCTGCTCTCTGACAGACACCCCTCACACCTCCCTGCCTGCCTTCCCCCAGCCCTGGCTGCAGTTCTGGGGTGAGAACTCACACCAGGACATTGCTGTGTGACAATTGTCCTGTTGAGAAGAACCCTTCTGGCTGAGCTAGCAATACCCAGCTTGCTGGACTCCTGGGGTCAGCAGGCTGTTAGAACAGGCACAATTCATTGGGGCAGCTCTGCTTTTTGGTGTGTGAGCCTCCTGACATCTGACCAGATCTGGGCACTTCCCTGGGGGTTAGTGGCTTGGTTCAGTTGACCATGGTGCTCTGCTGGGACAGATTTCACTGTGTCCTTCAGGCTTTATGTATTACCTTATGATGTCTCCTCTTCCTTCTGAACCTGAGCAGCTCTTTGTGCTGCCGAGACACGAAGTTGACGGCGGCGTATTCCAGAAGGGCAGAGAACACAAACAGCAAGCACACAGCCATCCAGATGTCTATGGCCTTCACATAGGACACCTAGGAGTCAGAGAAAGAGACAGAAATGGGGTGGCTTCCTTACCCACATGCATTTTTACTTGGTGTTTTACATGGCTGACATCTGTTCTTGGATAGCAGAATCACATTCATTTAATGTGAATGTGTTATCAGGTCACTGAAACTCCTCATGGGCTCTTAAGTAGTAATAATTCCACAGCTTTTAATTTATTCAGGCCTTGATTGTGATTGTCTATATGCAAAGAAAACAGTAATCCACCATACCAGAAGCCTTTCATAAGGGGAAATTCAGTACTATTATAAGAGTAGGATGGTCAAGTGACTAAAAAGCTAAAATGTAGACTGCACATCCATGTGTGGTTGTTGCAGGGGTTTATTAAGTACAGAGCTCCTGGCTAATTAGAGTTGTGGTGAGTGCTGAATCTTAGGGGTAGTTTTGCTGCTAGTCATTGGGAATATAAAAATTTTTCAGGATGGGGCTGGAATTTGCTCTGTTTGTCCTTACACAGGAATTGTGCAAAGGCAGCAGGAGGATCTGTGTAGGGTTTTCCTTAGGTGCTGTCCCCAAAAGGGGCACGATTTCCCTGGTGTTCCAAGGGTGTTCCCTACCTTGGGCAGTGATGCTCGGGAGCCAGAGCTCTGCGTGGTCATGGTGAGCACGGTGGTGATGCCCAGGCCCACACGAGCAGGTGCAGCATCCATGTTGATCCAGAAGGAGATCCAGGACAGAATGACAATGAGAAGGCTGGGGATATACATCTGGATCAAGTAATAGCCCATCTGCCTCTCCAGGTGGAAACGAGCTTCTATACAGGTGAACTTGCCTGAGGAGGATGGGAGATACATGGAAGGTTTTGGTAAGGCACAGTGAGCCTCCTGTTTTCAGCCAGTGTCTGGAGATTTTCCTTTTCTTTGAGTTGCCTAAACCAGAGTCTTGTCAGGGGAGGAAATGAACAGCTATTGCCCAGGGCATGCCCAGTGATAGGACAAAGGGAATGGCTTCAAATTAAAAGAGAGAAGGTTTAGATTAGATATTAGGAAGAAATTCTTCCCTGTGAGGGTGGGGAAGCCCTGGCACAGGTTGCCCAGAAAAGCTGTGCCTGCCCCTGGATCCCTAGAAGTGTCCAAGGCCAGGTTGGACAGGGCTTGGAGTGACCTGGGATAGTGAAAAGTGTCCCTACCCACGGCAGGGGGTTGGAGCAATATAGTCTTTAAGGTCCCTTCTAACCCAAACCATTCTAAGATTCTATGAACATTAACATAGCAAAGAAAGCTCTTTGGCAGTATGTCCTTTGTCACTTAAATTACAAAGACAAAAGAAGGTTCTAGGAGAGAAGATCCCAACCAAACACCCTTGAATTGATGCAGATGTTACTGGGGACAAGAGGGTTTTGCACATTTATGCCCATTAGCTTCTAATTAGCTATATGTTTCCACATGTCTGTTATCTCTGGAAGAGTAGGACAAGGCCAGAGTGACATCAGACAGAGCAACAGACTCTGGCAAATGCACAGTCCTGAATTCCTCTCTACTGAACCCCTCAGTTAAGGGTTAACAGCACTGACCTGTGTTGTAGTGCTTCGTGCAGTATCTCAAGTCTTTTTCTTCTTTGAGGATAAACTGAGGCAATGTCAGCCCGTCAGCAACTTGCACTGCTCCTTTTTCTTGCCACTCAAATATGAGATCATTCATTGTGTAGCCAACTGTTGAGAGGAAGGGACAAATGTCATGTGAATCACAATAAATACTGATCTGGAAAGGGACAGTATAGCAGAAGAGAGCTTGGAGGCAGGGGAGCATCCTGGCCTTCCTTGACAGTGCTGTCATGAATGGGATTTGGGTTGAGGCAAAACTGCTTGTTTATGTGGTAAGAGCCAGGGCAAAGACCTCCACTGGAGTTGCAATGGATTTTCTGCAATAAATAACATTTTTTTCTTTAATTTGGCTTGCTGAACTGTTTTCTACTGTTCTTGACTGCTTTCTCTGGAAGCAGCTCATCATCTTTCCCTCCTCTGGGATAAGCAGAATGTACAAGTGGCAGATGTTCATCCAAAGAGAAAAAAATCCCACTTGCAGCTGAAAGCACTCTCACCTCTCTCCTGCAAAGTGAAAGGCCAATGCAAACACGGGCAAACCAGGGTTCCCCACATGGGATCTTTTGAGGTTTGGCTTTCCTAGAAAATGTCACATGGGCTGAATAAATGGAAAATCCTAAGCAAGAGGCTCTCGAGCAAGCCTCCAGTGAAGGCTGGGCTGGGGATGGGCTGCAGATGGGAAAAGAGATAGCAGGGGACAGCAGCATGGAAAAGTGTTGCCCTGCTCTTTTGAGAGTTTTAAAGTTATTTTAAAAGTTCCTATGCCTTTTGATACTTACATATTTCTACTGAGTTTTTCCATGCATATTCATGTAAATAATGATTGTTTTGTGTTCTTCTTTGTGGATGGAGAGAATTGATGAACTGTTGGTTTAAACAGTGTGGTTGGAGAGGTGGCAGTTTCACCCTCCAATCCACTGTCATATTTGCTATTGTATATAGTGGAGTCAGAAAATAAAGTTTGCTTTTTTGGGCTCTTTTTCTTTCCTTTTACATCTAGCCTGCTTCTGTGAGTTATTTTGTCACAGTGTGACAGAAAAGTGTGCACAGGACTCACAGCTTTCCAACTGCATGATGCACGTCTGTACGTCCATGGGGAAGTTCTTCAGGTCCATAGGGCAGGCCAGAGTCAGCGTGATCCTGAGGAGAGAGGAGAGCACAGGGAATGCCAAACAGTGGGCACTGCTGAGGGCTGGGGGAATGGCAGATCATCCATCTCTTCCTGCCTGGAAAGCACCAGAAGTGCTGAACATTTAGGTCTGTGATACCATCCCCAGCAGAGCCTGCTGTTTGAGACTGTGTGCAACATTCCCTCACAAACAGTTCTGCTGCTTTTCCTGGCCTGCCTCAGGTTCACCACAGGCTGGGTTAGCAGAAAGCCCAAGCCCACTCTCTGGAATCCCCAGAAACATTTCTGTTCGTGAATCTCTGAACAGAACATTTGTGTGTGATAAAGAACCACCAAAAAGAAGTTTGATCAAGGTCATGTATTTGTGTGTGGGGAAAGAAAGACTTCAGTGGGATTTTCTGCAGGGAAAATGCCTCATGCTAAGCCGATATCAACTCCTGTACCTTCCTGAATTCCTGCAGAGCCCTTGAGACCTCTATTTCTGTCTCAATTTTCCACTAGGTGTAGGCTACATTTTCTGTGTTATATTGCTGTGCTGCTCTGTACCATGATCTATGCTTAAAATGTTAGGTTGGTTCAACAACCTGATACTAAATGATTTGCTCCAGATAGTTAGACTTGAATTATTTGGTTTGATAATGTTGAAAATGCTGTTCCCCGAAGTGTTTAGGATTTTCAACTTTTGGCCTTGACGTAGAAATAGCAGAATTACCCAGGAGACAGAAACTGAATTTTTCTATCATCAGACCTACAAGAAACTTATCAGGAGGGAAAGATACTTTAATTTAAAATCTTATGTTGTTAGAAATTCTCAGCTTGAGTTTAGAGCATGTTGGGACAGAAGATGTGACAAAATCCACCTTCTTGTAAATGCCTTGCCTAGAGTTTGATTATTACAAGTAGTAGTAGCAAAGAACCAGTTAGAAAATGGCAGAGATTTTTCTTTTTAAAGGGAAAGACTATTTCTCATGTCTGGTTTTTAAAATTAAGAACTGTGAAGTTCCCCCATTCAGCCAACACATGGTAATTCATTGTTTTGGCCATCAGGTCTTCGGGATGGAACCTCCTTGGTGTTTGATGGAGGCCATCTACTTTGCAGCATTAAGCCATTTATTTTCCATTTTACAGCTCCACACTGCTTTTCCTTCCTATTGCTGCCCCTGGGAGCTGCAGTGTGAAATGGGGTGTGTGTTCCAGAGGCAAATTTACATTATACATGAGGTGAAAAGGTCTTCAATATACAGTTAAACTTTCCCAGTCTAGGCCTGTGAAGTCTGATCTTAATTTCATTCTTTTAAAATCCAGTGTGAATGGGGTTGGAAGTGAAGGTGGGGGCTAAGTTTGATTTCCTGTGGGAAATGCAGTGTAATTAGTTCAATTTTGCTGATGGATTCTTGGATCTAGCAATAAAGGGATAACTGAGAACAACTAGGCTGAGACAAAGCCACGGGGCCCTACTTAGCATTTTCCCTGATTTTTAATTTTTTTTTTTTGTACAGGAAATGCTGCAGCTTTGAAAACAGAGTGTTCATGAGCTTCTACTGGTTTTCACACAGCACAGCTGGTTTTAGGCTTGTACTAACATAAGATATCTGAAGTAATTTTACATTAGGGATGTTAAGGAATCTACTACAAGCAGAAGTCCTTGAACTGAAAGAGGTAAAGATGAGTTAAATTCCTTCCCAGACCAAGCCTCTGTCTCAATATGCTTCATCACTGCTAATTGAATGATCTCCCACCTTAAAACCCCCTAAATTTCTCTTTTCCAGCAGCATGCCCAAAGTCTAGGCTGGGATGACCTTGGTGCAGTCACTTCACCTGATGCTGTAGAGGACGTTGCCGTTCCGGGAGATCCTCAGCAGCTTGTTGTCCGTGGTAATCTCATGGAAATGGGCCCCTTTCTCATTAGCAAAGAACAAGTCAGGCTTCCAGATGGAGTCCAGCATGGAGGGGTCCAGGTCCAGGGAGTCGTCGGGGTACTCGTTGTAGGCCAGCCGGGGGTCGTTCCACTGCTGCCGCAGGAAGATGTTCACCCTGTAATCCTGCACACAGACACACAGCAGAGCTCAGAGCAGCCTCAAGGTGCTGGCAGCTGGGCAGCACACACTAAAACCAAACAAAAATGAGCCAGACCATGTCCAGGCCTGCAGTTCCCAAGCTATGCCAAGTGTTTTTGGTATTATTCCTCAAGGAACTGTTATTAATTTTTAGCTTTGTAGCTTCCAGCCATGGCATAGCATGAGCAGCTGCCTGTCCTTGCATCCCTCTGTTACAGCAATTGTCAGCTGTGTGGGAAGGGCCAGGACCTCTCTGTCTGGACCCTGGGGCTGCAGAGAATATGAGCAGTTGTGGAGGGCAGAATGGCCGCTGTCAGCAGGAGGATGTTCCAGAGGAGTAAGTGGGGATAGAAACTGAAACCAGATTCTTTTCAGTGCTGAACTGTCCCGTATCATGACTATCTGTAGTTCACCTGGCACTGGGAAAGGAAAAGGCACAGTGAGAAAGATTGTCCATGAAACAGAAACTCCCTGTGTCTGCTAATACAAGGATAACTGAGATGAGCCAGTGGGAGCAGCTGCCCTTGGTTAGACTTTGTGAGCAGGAGAAGGATATTTATGAAATCTGCTCTCCTAATCCTGAGCATTCTGGGTTCCCCTCTCTAATGTCAAAATGCCGTAAAGGCAACAGATTTTATAGAATGACCATCTTCCTTAACTGAAGGTAGTCCCTCAGCACTATGCACAATTATCCTTGCTTCATAACCACAAGTCTTAAGAGTTCCCCTCAGTTCCCAGGTCCAGGCTGGCTGCTGAGGCTGAGTTCAGACACTACTGGAAAATCTGGGGCAGTTTCTCTTCTCCCTGTCTGACTGACAGCTTCCCAGGGTGATCTGTGTGCTTCTTTTCTTCTGACTTTCACATGAGAAAGTGATACAACAAATTGAAATGGGAAGAGGATGTGCCAGCTATCAGGAGAGGCATGAAAGCTCCACAACCATAAATTAATTGACATTTTCTAAGTATAGAGGCAGACTGCATCTGAAGAGCAGCATATAATAAACCAATTCCACTGCCCAGGCCCAATGAATAGTCCTTCTCATGATTAAGGGTTTCTTTGCTGCCGTTCTAATATAAATGTACTTTGAAGACTTTTATTAGGACACAGTTAATGGAGGGTGTCTGATGTGCTTGCTGGTGTCTTATACCTGCTGCAGGCACTCGGTGAGAGTGCCTCACTCTGCCACCAGGTCTGTTCTTTCCCTCTGGAGAACACAAAGTTCTGGAGTTGAAGGGTGCCTGTACAGGGGACTTGCTGAGGATGCTGCCTCAAGAGCTCACTTGACTGTGAACCTACATCCTCTTGCCCAGGAGGCTCTCGTGGTGTCCAGTGGCACTGGAGGGTTGGGAGAGGATGTTGCAGTAAGGTAGAAAAATCATAAAGAAAGGCTTTATAAAATCAAGCCTGCTCTCCTGGAATCAGTGGCTGGCCTTGTCAAAGCCAGCATTTTGCAAGTTCTCATATGAAAGTAATCCTGGTGTGAGCAGTCCATTAACATAATAATCTATTCCAGGGTAAAAACACCTTGCACCTGTATAAACTGTTTTTACACCATTAGACAGAAAAATGAAATCTATCTCTCACAAACAGCTTTCCCTGCAGTACACACAGAGTCTGAGTGACCAGTCAATACAGGATAACAACTTGTTACTAACCAATAAAAGTGATTGGCAAGAAAACTACTGACCAATTGGAGTCCCACACGAGGTCTGTAAAACTGTATAAAAAGGAGTTATGTGAATAAAGAATGGGCTTTTTCCATCATGAAGAAAATGGAGTCCCATGTGATTTATTCCCATAAGAGGATTCTGTTGGGTGCTCTGTGTTTTGGATGAGGCACTTCTTAGCCAAGCACATAATCTAGAGTCTGTTTCAGGCCACTTGGTGCCATCTGCACCCTCAGAGCGCAGAAGCTGCTAATGACATTAATGATTGTGACAACAGCAAATGAAACACGGACTTGATACTAAAAGGAGCAGACCTCTGAACACAAAAAAGACTTGCAACACTCTTTCCTTCTGCTGATATTCCAAGTGTCACCTTCACAAGTCCTAGTGCATCCCTCTCACTTAATTATTCATCTATGTCGACCCTGGAAAATGTGTCTAGAGGAAATGTGAATAGCTGGGGACAGCTGGGGAGCAGGGTCTCAGCACAGGGCCAGCCCATCATGCAAGCCTGGAGAAGGAAAGGAAGCATGAATTCTCACTTTCCACAGCAGGCAGCAGCTCCCAGAGCTACCTGTATATTTTCAATTCTCTCTTTTCTGTGCATCAAGATCTGCAGCCATTGCAGCCAGGGGAAATCAATGTCACTGACCTAATAGGTAGAAAGCAAAAGGTTGTTTTGCTTATTCAGCTACAAATAAGCTGGATGCTAGCAGGTCAGCTCCAGTTTGGGACTTCTGTCATGTACAACACAAATTAAACTCATGTTTGGAAGAAACTTCAGTGGTAGCTGTCCAGAAGTGTGCTCAGCCTGATGGAGTAGTAGAAGGGGGGAGGGAATGGAGCCAAATTCCTTCCAACAGCCTGAGTTACTGCAGGTAAGCTTTGTTGGTGGAGTAAATTCACCGCTTCAGCTCCAAAACTTGACAAAAGGACAGGAAAGGTTAAGAGAGAAGGTGTTGAATGGTTTACGTTGCCTCCACAGCAATAGACCACAGGCAGAATTTTATCTGCAGTCTTTGCAACCATGAGGGGGCATCTTAATTAAACACTCGTGGGCCAAATGAAAATAAAATTAACTTCTCACAGTGGATGGCTGTGAGAAGGTCCCTCCTAATTCACCTCTAGAGTGACACTGTCCTCATGTCCTGCTGAGAGCAGTCCAGGGGCACCTTGGGAATGTGGGGGAGAAACTGCACCACCTCCACCCTGGGATGTGCAGCAGTGTGGGGAGTAACTCTGGTTTGTGTTACTCTGTGCTCCTCCTTTGGAGACAAGTGTTTGCTGTGGGTATTTTTTTGTTTTGGAATACAGAAAACAGGGCATTACATTGTGATATAAAAAAGGCAAGGATGAAGAAATCTGATATATGCACTGAATGCAATTCTCTTGCTTTGCCATTTCAGGGCATTAATATTTTACCTCTATGTGTGCATTTATGCAGATCTTCCTACTCAGGGAAGATCCACAGTTCTGGCCTGCTCTCTGAGAACGTGGTTTTCTCCCAGATGCCTTTGCCCTTATGTCATTGCACTGCAATCCTGAAGGTTCTGAGCAGCCTTTTAGGTTTCTTGTGTCAAGCCTTATTTGAACATAAATGTAAAACCAAGCACTGTGACTGCAAACTGGACATGACACTGCCTGAGGAGCCAGCAGAAGGCATGGAGAGCAGTCAGGGTATGTCTGTGCTGTGACACAGGCTAAGAGAAGGGTTACAGTGTTCTGTACCAGATGAGGATCCTCTGTGCTGGAAGCTTTGTCCTCAGCATTGCAGCCAGGCTGAGTGGTGATGAGCCAAGCAACACTCATTCCTTGGCTACTGGAGATATGCAACATTTCTCCTGGATGCTGTACAGGAGATCTTAATTAGCATCCCCAAGAAGTTCACAGTTATTCCTAAATGATGGACAGCACTGGCCAGTTTCTGATGTGAACTTTCAAGCAAAGAAATAAGAAGTTTGACTGGGGCTGCAAACTTGGCAAACAAAAATAAAAATCTCTTTCTCCATATCCTTCTTATCCCTCACATTCCTCATTTGTGTGCCCATCACATCCAGGCATTGATTATCTTGTGCAGCCTGCTCCTCTGGTTGGCTTGGGAGAGAGGAGCAGCAGCTCTGTCAGGGAAGGCATTCAGGAGCTTTGCAATTTGGCACAAAGGCATTTTACTCCCAAGAGGGAAATGACACAAGGCAGGAAGAGAATAACTGGAGTGATCAAAATAGTTCAATTTGATAATGCTGAAATGAAATTCTGCTTAGTGACCTCACAAGGAGACAAGGAAACAGAAGATCATTTGAGACCTTCCCAGGATCCCATAGCCTTGACATCTGCTGCTGAAAGCAGAGGAGGCTGGAGGCAGTGCTGAGCTGAAGGGATGGAGCCCCTCAGGAAACTCCATAGGTTTTCCCTCCTGATGCAGGGCTCTGTCAGAGCAGCCTCTGCACTAAACAGTTTTGGGGAGAGATTTTCCCTTTGATAAATCTACATTTTGCTGGTGGAAAAAGCAAGGTGGAGACCGATCTCCTTCAGGAGAGGATTCTGGGACCCCACCAGAGCATGAGGGGCTTTGTTAGCATTAAGTCTTTAGGATGGGAATGAACATTTTGAAGGCAACCTGCCTTGTCAAGGAGCACTACAACAGACTGCAAAAACACCAAGCACACCAGGAGCAGCCCTAGGAGGGGTTAATAGCCAAGTAGCCAATTTGAAGCCTGTTAAACCACCCCTGGGTGAGGGCAGGAGTAATCTGTATCAGAGAAGGGCAGGCACCTGGTGAGGGGTGGGAGCAGTACCCTGGTGCTTAATAAGTGTGGGGATTTTTGTCCTGGAACCTAAAGCATTAGTGCAAAGACAAACTCTAATCACAGACAGCTGGAACACTGGAGGTCTGACACTGAGATGGCAGCAGAAAGTGAGTAGGTGTGAAAACCTTTTCATTTTGTGTTGTGTGACTTGTTAGGTGCTTATCATCTCTGTGGGACTGATTGTTGGGTTTAAGAATGACTGACTGCAGGAAATTTTGCTTAAAACCTAACTTTTGCTATGAGCTTTGTGCATTGAAACTCGTATCTTTTACTGATTTTGGAGTGAGGGGGACCAGTATAAATGTGGGACCCAAGTTCTTCATCAGAATCTCTGCTGTACTGGGGTTTGTGAGTTTTGATTGAATTTCTTGGTCTGCTTCATAGGATGCTTTGTTTTCTCGTTGGAAATCTCATGTGCAGATGTCTCTGAACAAGCACTTAACATTTGGACAGTTGCAGCCTCCAGCTTCTCCTGTCCTCAGGAGATGCTGGGAGCTCAGTCGTGGCTGTGCTGCAGCTGGCTGGAAGGTCACATTTGCTTTGCTCTTTTCAGATGAGATAACTATGGCATGAAAGCAGCAAAAATGAATTTGCATATTTACACTGTGTCTAAGTTCTTTTCCAGTCTCTGCTGTGTGTTGGTTCTTTTTAAAAGAAGAGTCTAGAAAAGCTCATCCTGAGTCCAGCTGCTAGCATTGCTGGGGGATGATATAAAAATGTATTCCTTCTTCTGCCCATGCCTGCACTGTGTACAAAATGCTCCCAGTTGCCTAAGCCACTGGAAGGCTACAAAACTGCACCTTCCACTGGAAGAGTGAGCAAGGGCATCAATTAATTTCAAGTTTCCTGTTATAGCAGGGAATTTGTTAATGAAATTCTCAGATAATCCTATCAGTTGCCTCATGCCTCAAAGAAATGCCAAAGCAGGTGCAGTTTATTCCCTTACAATCCAAGACCTGTTCTGAAGGTGCTCCACTTCTGTTTATTTGGAATGAGAAATTTCTACATTTGCTACAGGTTTCATAATCTGGTGTGGCTGGGGAGTTGTTTATGCTTTTGAACAATGAAAAGGGATTAAGAGCTTGTGTTTGGGGATTGTTTGGTGTTTGTCATAATAATAATTGGAGAGAGTGGCTGCCTCTTGCACTTGTCCCTGGGAATCCCTGGCTGTTGGATTGATTTTGCAGTGATGCTTTGGGGCAGGAGGATCTGGCTGTTGTGTTGGTCCTCTCTTTCCCTTTGGAGCACAACAAGGAATGTGTTCCCAGTGCCAGCCTCCCTTGTCCTTAGAGCTCCAGGCAAGTGGGGCTGGATATGAGCTCTGAGCTGCAATCCAACATAAATGTCCCATCAATTATGTGCAACACTAGAGGATTTTATGTTGGGTCTGCAGCTCTGCAGGATGCTTAAAGGAGTTGCTCCCCTTGCTCTAAATCAGCTCTGCCTTAGGAATTCAATTTGGTGGATGACTTTGCCTTTTAACTTTTTTTTAATTTCCTCTAACCTTGCAGCGATTTTCAGATCTCCGCTTATTGCCCTGTTCATTTTGAACCTTTGTGGGGCAGGTAGCAGTTTTCTGCCCACTCTGGGGAGTTTGTGCCTTCTCTTGGCTGCACCTCATTGTCTTTCCTTCTGAGGTTTGTAGATCCAGCTGTCTTCATCAAATGCCTGGGTGTTTCCTATTTTTTTTTCTGTATTTTTTCCTCTCCTTCTACCTTCCATGAGGCCTTAAGCCATAAGTGAGCGCTCTCTCTCTAATTTCTCTAATCCTCTGCACAGTGAGCTCATGGTTTACACTGATTTGTTATATTCAGGCAGTGTAAACTTAGAAGGGAGCAGTGGTATTTTCTGTAGGAAGTATCAGCTCACTATGGAGATACTTTAAAGCCTTATTCAACTGCATGTGGGGTGCTCATAAAACCCTGTGACTGTTCCTGCAAGTAATAGTGTAATAGTAATGAAATAGAAGGTGGTATAGTACCCAGACCTGAACCAGACTAGGCTTAGAGTGCCTAATGATGGGGGTTCAAACATAATTTTCTTTCTCTTTTTGGCCAGTGAAGCAGCTGGGGGAGTTTTGCCATCATCAGTCCCAGGGGATGGCTTTCTTTCTGGTAAAACACTGATTTGCCCCTCTCCATTATGCAAGCTGCCACCCCTTCCTCTGATGTTTGACCACTTTGAATTCAAAATGGTCAGATCTGTCTCGGAAACCCTTCAAGACAGGACAATCTGCTCTTCCCAGAAACTGCTGGGGAGCTGACACTGCCTGTTTGTCCTGCTACATCCTCAAACAGCAGGGAGGGACTGGCTGCTCTGCAGAGCAAATCCCAGGTTACAAATTCCCAGGACCTCTCCAGCATGCTGAGATCTCCATTTCAGCTGTTTCAGGACCTGTGCTTCAGCTGTTTCAGTACCTGTTTCTTGTGTTGCTGTTGGTGTTTACAAGCAGAACTGCTGCTCCCACATTAGATTGGGCTGTGTGCTGCTGTGTCAGCCTGACATCTGGGCTGGCTTGTCAGAGCTGCCTCGGATATTTCCAGACAGAGCAATGTGCCCACAGGGTGTTCTCGGGCTCCCATGGGGATTTTTTTCCCATGGAAGAGTGCCTATGAAATGAGTGGCATCTGGAAATGATAGCAAGTCCCTGCAGCGTGTCTTGGAGGTGAACTGCATCTCTCTTGTGCTAGCCTGTGCTAATTTTATGGAGCATCCTGCTCGTAGGGATCGTGTGGCATCTTTGGCTGCTCCAGTGCATCTCGCAGAGTGGGGCAGATGCACTGAAAAACGCTTCAGTGGAGTGTGCTCTGTACATTGCACACATCCTTTGAGGGCTTCTCCTGCTCCCTTGCACTCTGGGTTGGTGTAGGAACAGCATTTATTGCCTGCAAGGCCAAAGGAGGTAACCAATAAACAGTAAATTAGGAACAGATGTGTATTTCAGTGGCAGTTCTTTCTCTTTTGCTTTATATACAAATGAATCCATGCTACACTCCCATCTGTGAGCTCTGACAAATTCTGCAGGCCAGATAGGAAATCTATTTCCCTGTGCTTGGACAGAATTACAGCTTTGTTTTTCTCCTCCACTACCAGAGCTGAACTGTCCCAACCCAAATATTTCCAGCAGAATGATGTAGTGTCAGAAGAGACTCATAACCTGAGCTGTGTGGCTGTGGCTCTCCTCTGACAGTGCTGTGCATGCCAAGTAATTTGTTCAAGTCAAGGGGTGTGATCTCTATGCAAAGCCTAAAACTTCCTGCCTGAATGCACAGAACGCCTGAAGCTGGAGCCTTGCATTCTTCATTCAGCATTATTCTAGAAAAAGAATTACCAGAGGGTAATTAAACACCATATTTCTGGATTATCTTTAATTAGCACAGCAGCAAGGCACAGTACCTCCAGAGTTTTTTCCTTTGCTGTTCACTGGTTATGTCACAACCAATCTTTAATAGTTTTCAGATGGAGCAATTATCTCCTGTTCTAGGGATCCTCTTGCCAATTAGATACAGCCTTTAGCCATGCTCACTAATTTTGTATGAAGTGAGCCTTAACTCAGAAATATTGGTTTTGATTTTCTACTAAAAATCATTGTCTACTAGAAATGTGTCTGCAAGAAAACAATCATTTTAGTCTTTAATAATTCTCTTAATCTTTGGGAATCTGAAATCCTGGTGCAAGCTGAATTTGAGTTCAGATGATTTCCCTTCTCTTTGAATCCAGAATAATTTTGGATTGATGCCCACTTAAACACAAAGTATCTGTAACAATCACTGAGCTTGGAGCCTTAGGCAAATCTTCAGAAAAAGATTATTTGTTTTCCTTTCTGACCCTTGTCCTTTGCTCATGGGGTGTTTTTATAAGATGTAGATGGAGACTCTGTGGTCTTCAGCCACATAAAATGAGTCATGTGTGTTGACCATTAATTTACTCAAACTCTGAGTAAGCTCAGGAGCACTGAGGGTTTTCCCTGGTCCCTCTGAGGAGAAGGGTGATGCTTCATTTTCTGGGAGTGCAGTGAGGCTGAGGCAGTAGCTGAGCAGCTGTGCTGTGATTTTTACTTACCATAGTTGTTTCTGCAATCGAACCAAAGCTGTTGATGAAAATGTTGCAGCTGACGTTCACTGGTGGGCCTGCATGACAAACACAGATTGGAACAGCAGTTCACTGTGTGCTCGTGGAACAGAGGATTTCAACTCTGGAGTATAAACCTGCTGTGGGAATGGGGTGAGCAGGGGAGAAAGGCCTGGGTGCCCTGCCAGGTCCAGTCTTGGTTCTGATGCCAGTTTGACACCAGGCAGGGCTTGTGCTCTGCCTCTGTTCCCCTGTTTGGCAGTTTTATAGATATCTGATGGGAACTGCTCAGATGAACAGGAATAGATCAGAGCCAGCCAGGACAGTTTCTAGGTGGTAATTTCACCTTGAACGTGCTAGCAAAATATCCCAGAAAGGAGCTGAGAGACAATTGCCTTTTATTTAGAGCTATACTTATGAAATATTCACTGTTCCTGAACTAGGATGAGGTGCTCCCTTCCAAGCCAGTGCAGCAGAGTGAGCTGGAGGGATCAGGCTGGCTATAGCAGCAAATACCCCACATGATGATGGTGGTGTTGGGCTAACACTGCCTGCTTGACCCTCTGCATCCTCAAACAGCAGGGAGAGACCGGCTGCTCAGCAGGGTAAATCCCAGGTTACAAATCCCAAAGACCTTTCCAGTGTCCTGAGACCTCCTTTTTAGATGCTTCAGTACCTGTGTTTCTTGTGTTGCTGTTGGTGTTTCCAAGGAGAGCTGCCTGTAAACCCCAAACCCCAGCTGATGATCCTGATCCAGGCTGTCAGGGCCCACAGCTGGGTAGGAGAATTCAGGGCTCTGCCAGCAGGAATTTTCTGGCTGTCCTGTTTGGGCAGAAGGTAATCCTGGTCTCTGGGCCATGCCTCTCCTGACTTGATTTGCTTTCAGCCCAGAGCTTTGCTTACCTTGCTCATAACTGGAGAAGTTAAGGGGTCACCAAAGGAAAGGAGTGAGGGCAAGGGATGAAAGATTCTGGTTTGAGGGCATGGGGGTCAGTCTGTTCATGTGGTACTGATGCCCCAAGGTGTGATGGAAGTGTTTCATAACATTGCCTGGAAAAATCTGAGGTGGAAATGCTGCATTTAGGCACAGTAAGATGCCAAGAACTGCAGCTCAGCACAAAGCAAAATGCTGGGGAATATTTTGGAGCCAGGGCACACCTGGTGCCTGGCAAGCCTGTGGCTTGCTCACACATGATGAGATGATTTTTGTAGTGGGTTGAAGCAAAAGGGGCCTCTGCTCTGGGGGCTGCCAAAGGCTGCTGTGGGCACTGTCCAGGATGTGGTGGGGAAAGGCAGCCCAGGCAGAGAGCAGAGACACTGCCCCAGGGACCAAGGTCCCCTTTTACACCAGAGCTAATCCCATATCATCCCTGTGATAGATGCTTCTGGGAAGATAAGATCTCTGACAGTAGAGAGTGTGGATTTTCAGATTATTCCCCCATTTTTTTATGGAATCAGGATTGGTGTCTGCATTTCAAACACTGTCTGGTGGCTCAGCCTGCTGGGGGAGTGATGTTCCTGTTAAGGTCACATCTGCAGTCTGGCAGTTGCTGCAGCATGAAATACTGGGGGGAGGAATGGCTTTAACGAGAGCCTTGTGCCTCTAATCAGTGCAAACTTCCTCCTGTGTGGAAATTAATGAATTTTCCTGATTACTGAGGAACATTTGGAGCTTGGTTTTCTCCTCTTCATTTCTCTTTCCTCCTCTCCTGCTTTGGCCTCCTCTGGAAGTTTGTGCCTGTCCCCTGCAGTGATGCTCTCTGCTGGGGTTTTCTTGGTGTGAGTCCCAGGCAATCTGAGCAGGCTGTGTCAGCCAGCCCCCAGAGAAGCACTGCCAGCTCAGCAGCATCTCACACTGTTCAGTCTGTGCAGCTTTATCCAGACTGTTAAACACTGGCATAGCTTGAGCTATCAGACACAAAAATTATATCTTTTTTTCCCTCCTTGCCTTCACCAGCCCCTTGCATCCAGAAGTTTATCCATAAGCTGAAAGCACATGGTTATCAGGTTTTAGTACTTGTTTCATCCCTTCTGTTGGGCTCAGGGGCATTGTTTCTCTGTTTTGGATCCATTCATGAGCCACATAAAAGGTCCTTGAACAGGTAATTCCCTTCCCAAAGGGCACAGCATAAGGAAAGCACTGAGCTGATCTCCTGGATGACTGCACATGTTTGTGACTGAAGGTGTGGAATATTTTGGTCCCCCTGTTCCTGATCCAGTGCTGACATAAAGCTGAGTGTGGGGTGGGTTTGGCCCTGTGAAGGCTCCTTGGGGCAGCCCAGCTCTTGCTGAGTCACTGAGTTCTTCTCAGTGTGTCTAAGGTGAGCCACAAGCTCCCTGCAGGATTTGGTGATTTTTGGTATTATTTAGCATGTGAGAGGCTCTAGAAAGTTCCCTGCCTGCCACTGAAATATTCCTCCTCTATGCTGGGATGCAGCTGTGGAGAAATGGAATTTTCCAGCAGCAGGGATGGGGGCACAGCCTGGGTGAGATGTCCCCTGCCAGGTTCCTGTCTGTTCCTGCTCGAGCTCCTGACTTTATCCTCCAACTTAAAACCCAGATACTACTTATGTGTTCTCAGAAGGTGAATCCACAGCTAAGTCCAGACTTTACAGCATTTACGGAGAAGCTGCAATCTTCTTTTTGTTAATCTTCCCCTCCCCAAAAATCAATCTGATATGGATCTTTGGTATTATTTTCATTTAGATCTAAGCAATTAAAATGTCCTTATGAGTTATTGCAGTTAATTTAAATGATGTGCTTTGAGAACTACAACCCCAAGCTCTGTAAAACACCTCCTATTCCTCCCATATAAATTGGAGCCTGATTTATGTGTGGGAGGCTAAGCCAGCAAAACTGCCCTGAGGGGAAGGTGTAGTTCATTGAAATAAAACCGAAATTAAATTATCTCAAATAAAAATGCAATACAGCTGCCTTCAGCAGGAAGTGAATGTATACATTTCATTAAATATTAAAGTTTAATTTGTGTGTGTGCATAATTTAGAGGTAGGCAGGTTTACAGGGTGGTATTTTATTTAACTCCTTGTCATTTGGATAAGAACAGCAGTGTCCTCTGTTGCCTGGTTGGTTACTGGGGCACAGGGTTCCCACCTTTCTTTGGATTTAAAAGCCCAGCACAGAATTTATTGTTCAAAGCTGGGTGCCAGGTGCTGTCACCAGTGATTAATGGGTCCTGGAAATCCTGTCAGCCCTGCCAGTGGCTCCAGGGGAGAGGGAACTGGTTGCAGGAAGCAAAAGCAGTGAACAAAATGAGCTTTGGAGATGGCTGGACAGTGTCTGAGAGGAGCAAGTCCTGCTTTATCTCTGGGTGTGATTTGGGGTCAAAGAGCCCCTGGGAAAGCGAGTAGTTAAAAAGAAAGAAAAACAAAAAATCATAGAATGGTTTGAATTGAAGAGTCCTTATAGACCCTCTAGATCCATCCTCTCTGCTATGTGCAGGGACATCTTCCATTAGACCAGGTTGAGAAAGCCATCCAAAAACCCCACACTTGCTAGAAGAGGTGTTTTGAAGAGAAAAGAAGTTCTGTTGCCTCTGCCAGTGCTTGCCTCAGGGCTGCTTGGCTGCCATGGAATATGGGATAGACTGGAAAATAGAGCAGTGTTGGGCTGATACGGGGGACAGGGATGGGTTTGGGCTGCCCCTGGCATCTTGTGGGATTTTTGTGGAGCTGATGGGAGAGGCTGCAGTGGCTGCAAAGAGGGAGCATTGCTTGCCATTAGCAGGAGCTGTGGGCAGTGAGTGACTCTAGGGGAAAGGAAAGTTGGGGATTTTATCTTTATCTCTAAAGAAGTTCAGTTACCTGCCAGTGACTGCTTGGTTTGACAGGATCCTCAGTTTATATATTGAGATTGATAGACTGAGATTCCCTGATCCAAGCAGGGATTGGGGGGTTCTATGCTTACAGTATGTGAAGTTCTTACAAGGTTGTTTCCACTCTGAGCAGACATTTGTTGATGTCATTGCAGAAATCTACAGGGATCCATGTGCCAAATATCTTTATAATACATACTTGGTAAAAACATAACTATTCATACTTCTTACAGCGTTAGGAAGATATTAATGAGGATTGGATGCAGTTTTCAGTCCTAAATGTGAAAAAAGCTGGGTTTTTTTGCATACCTTTAAAATTTGGTCTGATCCTGGCATCGTATCCTGAAGTTCTCCCCATCAGCTTATCCAAGAAGTCAGAAGGAGACATGGGTTTGGGGGCAGATCGAGCTGCTGCTTCAGCTTCCTTGGAGGCTGCCAGGCTGTGCAAGTAGAAATAAAGAGGAGGTTTCAGTGTGGATCCCATGCTGGGGAGGGCTTGGGGTCCAGAAACAGAGCAGTCAGCATCTTATTCCTGCTGAGGCAGGATGGGTACCCATGTGAATTCCTAATGAGGCTGGTCTCAGCTAATTTGTTTGCCCAGCCCAAACATCTCCAAATACAGAATCCCAGCTGCCACCAAAGTAGAAGAGAGATGATGAGCAGTGAAAATCCTTTTGTGAGTTTAGGTATAGCTCCTTGTGTGCCACTAAATTACAAATGTGAACTCTGGCGCTGAGCTCCACAGGTAAAATACACTCTGAGATTAGCCTTGGGCAGCAATTACTGCTTAATTACAGGGCAAATAGCATATTCAGTACTCTGACAGTATGATTTTCCAAAAGGCAGGTAGGATCAGAGGAATCTGGAGTTTGAGTTTTAAATGAGCATCACTGTTTGTGCAGAGCCTGTGGGGCTGGAGGGGAGAGGGGTGGTTCTGCTGATCAGTCCAGCCTTTGCTACTGCTACCTGCAATGCAGGGTCTGAGTTCAGCACAGAACTGTGATCCTGAAATTTTACTCATGTTGGGTTGAAGATGAAAGGAAATGGAATCTTTCTGGGATCTTTGTGGATTCTGGGGCAGAAAGAGTGAAATCATGAATTTATCTGTAGAAGACAAAAAACTTGTGGCTGGCAATGTGCCTTCTGACTCGATGGGAGTCTGCAAGATCTGCAGGGTGATGATTTGGGCTTAGGAAATCTGCTGTTGCCATCTACAGAGGAGCAAGTAACCCTTGGTATTAGGTGCTCATTCGCAGCTTTGCAGGAAGGTTTGACTTCCTAGATAGGAGCAGACACCATTCAGTACCCTCTCTCTGGTTGAATGGTTTCTATTTGAACACAAGTCTGTTCCCAGGCTGAAGCTGTTGAGTAAAACTGCCTAGATGATCCCCAAAAAATCCCACAAATCGCCTATGCAACGTGGTTAGGGTGAGCCTGTGGGTTCAGGTGCCTGGTGCTGAGTAAAGCCTGCAGGCAGCATTGCAATGCAAATGTACAGTGAGCCAAAGGAAGCTGCTCAGGAGGAAGTGAGGCCATTGCTTCACACTGCAAAACTCCTGAATTTTTTAAAGTACAAAGGCTGTGGGAATGGTGAGGAGCTCCTGACAGAGCAGCTGGGAGGTCTACAGGAGTTTACAGCAGGCACAAGCTATTTGGCAACACATGTCCTCACAAATGACACCAGAGTCCTCTGACAGCATCAGGACCTCACCTTGGGAAGTTCTGCAGCAGTCAGACCTGCAGGAGTAGTGCTAAGTACAGACACAAGATCTTTTTGGGAAGAATTTGGGACTGTAATTATGCATGGTATTAATGTGATCCTGCCCCCAAGGATGAGCTCTTCCAATGCAAGTTTGAGCTGAAACCCCAAAGAAATGTCTCATTTTGATAAGAGCATTTTGAACCATTTGATTCCTCAAAACTTTAAAAAATCAGATGGAATTCTACAACGCTTGGTTGCCTAATTTCAAAATTAGGAATCTGATAACCTGCATTGCATTGACTTTCTTTTCTGGTGTCAGCAGCAGTGGCTTGCCAAGCCTTGGTTTTCAGTCCTGCAAACTCACAACTGCAGTCTGGCTCCTTTTGCAAGTTGCAAGAGAGTTCTCTGATTGCTGGATTTTTAACTGTTAAAAATAGTTTAATTTGCATTGAAGAGGGTAGATTAATTCCAGATCGCTTCCAGTGAGAGCCTAAAACCAGGATTTTATTCACTCCTTTGAGAACTCCCAATCCACTCTCCCACTGGAGCATATCTGCACAGGCTGCTGCACTTTTTTCTTGGTGGTGATCTGAAAATGTGTGTATCTTGCTCTTGCTACAACCATGTCCCCTTTCTTGTCTTGTCCCCAGCTCTTCCCCAAGAAAATACTGCAAAGCAGAACCAATGTGTTTCAGGGGTAAATGGGGTTGTGGGATGGGTGATGGCTTTTAATTTAATTTGTTTTTAGAAGGAAAGCAACAGGGTGCAATTGATTTGCAAACGCAGAAGAAAGCTGGGAGTGGGAGGACAATCAATACTGGGCTTGACTACTGCATTCCAATGGAGTGTCTGCATGGCAATGAGTCCAGAGAAAAGATTTCAATTAAGCAGCAAATGACTTGGTAACCAAAGACTTCTGCCACTTCAGCAAGATGCCAGACAGTGCAATACACTGATTTCTTCTCATTAACTGTAGACTGGATGAAGTATATGGAAATGGAAAATGTGTGTGGGAGGGGAGAGGCAATACAAACCTAATAAACATCTAATAGTCTTTAAGTGAAAAAAGATAATTAGAAACTGCAATTCCCCTGGCATTTGTTTTAAAAAATGAGGTGGAAAGGCACAGAAATCGGTGCTCATCGTTCCCCTAAATTCAGTGTGAAAGCCTCTACTTGATATATTCACCCCACTTCCAATGAGTGAATCTGTATTTCTTGGGTGCCATTTTCTGATCCTTTCTGCATCAAAACTGCAAATAAATTAATTTCATGGGCTCACGTCCCACATGGAAATAAATATTTGGATAACTGGAGCTCAGAAAGCTCTGGGAGAGGACCACTCTCACAGCCCCACAGCTTTCTGCAGTTTCATGCCCATCCCTGTGACCAGTCCCTGGAAGCACCTCTGGGGGTGTGCTGAAACTGTCACACAAGGCTTCAGTGGCTTGATGCATGTTTTAAAATCTGTCTGGCTGCTGTGTGGCTTTACCTGGGAATGATGAGTTCTGAGTTCCCTCCAGTTTGTTTGGTTACTAGATGCTTTCCTAAAACTAGACTCCCCCTGGATTTATCAAGAAAAGGCAAGAAAGCAGTGCAAGGGGAGCAGCCTTTCTAGAAGCAGGCAGCTGGGTCTATTCTCTATCTTAGAAATAATGGCAGAAAACACCACTGGGCGTTGCAGAGAGGCTGATCCACCCCACTGCTTTAGGTGGATGGATTTTGTCTAGCAGAGCCCCAAAATTTTCACTCTGATTGTGACAGCTGAGCTTTGCAATGGCAGCTTAGCTCAGACAGCACCCAAACAATCTGCCAGCTTCCTCTGTCTTCCAGGTCTGTCTGGACTAGTGCTGTGTTTCCCTGAGAGCTTTCTGGGATTTTCTCCATCTCAGTCCTTCCAGAACACCCTCCCAAGTCCCACAGGACTGTTCGTCTCCTGGCTCACAGAGACAAGGAGAGGGGAATTGCCAAGTGATTCTAAAATTATTGGCAGTGGAAGAGAATTGGAAATTTAGTGTGGGTTGTTCTGATGCTCAGAGAGAAGATTTATTCTGTGAATAAACAAAGGGAGGCAAAGGCTGTAACAAACCCACCGAGGATGGAGTTTGCACTGGTGTAAGAGTTGTCTGAGCTGAGCTCTCGGTGCATTTTAATAGCAGCCAGACAGAGGCTTATCTTATTTATGCTCCTGTAATCCCTAGTGGATCTGGCTGAGAAAGTGCCATCAGGCAATCATCACAGCAGCTACAATGGGAAGGATCTCTTCAAAGGGTCGATGAACTAGCATAATCTTTTGTGATATTAGTGCTGGCGTGTAAGCAGCCACCAGCAAGCCCCCGGGAGGTCCAGCCACGAGCAGGATGTGAGCGTGGTGGAGATGAGCAGCCCAAAAGCTCAGGACTGCATCCCTTAAAACAGCAGTCAAGCCTTGCAGGACACCTATTGCTGGTTTTCCCCAGCCTATACAGGCACTGTTTACTCTGTCTGCATAATTTTTTTTCAGCTAAACAGATGATATATTCTTATAAACAATTATTTGGTTTAGAAAGTGGCTCTTCTGCAGTCTGGATGTGTCTGTTCACTTGATTCCTGGCTTCCCAGTCTGCTGTTTCCTTCCCTTCCTCATCCCATTTGTGTGATCCTTGAGCAATATTTTTGTATTTTGTTTTTTTATTTGGCTGTGGCCATGGTTGTCCATCTAATTAAGTCCAACATCACAAAATGCCCTGTTCTGGCTGAATGCTGATATTGAGAAATAAATTTTTCTTTTTTTTTTTTTTTCTTTTCAAAGACGAGTGATGAAGGAATTTAATTAGCACAAGGCTTCTCTATTCCCTTGTCAAATAATTTAATTGTTAATCATTAATTCAGAGTGTAAAAAAATAATGTCTGGCAGCAGAAACAAACTGTTGCCAAACAAGTGTTTGCAAATGAAATATCTCTCTGCAAAGTGTGGAAGGCTTAGGTCCCTGGGAAGGTAGTGATGCCACATCAGTGGCTCCAGAGAAGTGGGATCCCTGCAGGCTGGGGAGATGGAAGATACCTCACCCCTACCCTGGTTCTGTGCTCCTCAGCAAAGGTTTCTGAAGTGCTTTGTTTGGGGTTTTTGAATTTTATTTTTGAAACACAGCAAGGCAGAAACCTTGGCAGGGATGTGTTGGGAATAGCATTCAGGTGAGCTGCCTCACACAGTTGTCCTTCAGATGTGATGTGTTCTTTAAGAAGATATCCCAAGGTAGGGAAACGTCCATCAGCTAAGAGGCAGGCTGAGGTGTGCAGAATAACTGCTTCCCCCATTTCCTTCAAAGCCAGGCTGGGGCAGTGCTGGGGGACGTGGGAGAATTCATCAGTTTTGTTTTATTGACTCCAGTGGGCTCTGAGAGGTGCAGCTGCACAGAGAAGATCAGAGCACAAAAAGGCATTGTGCTGTTCATGGTTAACGATGCAGCCTGGGGGAACTCTGCTTCCTCCTCCTGAACCATCTTCCCTGGACCCCTGAGCAGATCCTGGAGCTCAGCAGAGCCCAGCTTGGATTCAGAAGATGCTGGGACTGCCTGTCTCTCTCTTCTCCTCTGCAGCAGGAAGGACAGATTGTCCTGAAAAGAAAAAGGGGCAGCCCTAAACTCTGCACCCAGACATTTATTTCTGATTGCACACCAACATGTTATCTGGAGGGGAATGCTGCCAGACCCTTGCTGGGAAGGCTTGGCAGAGACTGCAAGAAGACTTTTTATTTTAA